TGGACACAGATAAGTGGGGAAGAGGGGAGGGAGAGACGGAGACAAAGTGAGACAACGGGAGATGGCGGCAGGAAGGGAGGGGACAGAGAATAGGAATGTGGACAAGAGGGCCATAGTGAGTGGGAGATCTTACACCAAGGCACGTGCTGTTTCCTCCTGCAGCGCGACAAAGGTAAGGGCAGGGATCATACGTTTAGGACATGCTGGGGGCAGAGTCTCACCAGGGTCTGATTGGCAGAGAGAAGAGTGGCTCCACTATCATCCCCTCGGATGGGCAGCAAGGGCATAGTGGAAAACTTCTGACGAGCAAGATCAGAGGAGGAATGACGACGTAAAACCACCGACTGCTGGTCATCATGCTGAGGAGACAGTGACCGGTTGGCACTAGTGGACCTGGGAGGTATGGCTGGTCCCCAGAGGTACCAGAAGCCCATCCTGCTCCATCAGCCTCTTGCTCCTCCTCACCTGGGCTTTAAGAATGCTTGTGGTCCAGTCCCACATCTCATCCTCATCAGTGCAGGACAGACAGCTGTGGGTGAACAGTGATTCAGGAAATGGAAGGAGTCCTAGCACTAGGCATGGAGGAATGGAAAAGGGAACAGGGGAGGAAAAAGGACAGGGCAGGGCTAAGGAGAGCTCTCAGTTGGTGTAAAGTGCTTGCCATTCAAGAATAGGGACTGGAGTTGGATCCCCAGTACCATGTCAAAAAACGAGGTTAGAGAGATGGCTCAGTGGTTAAGAGCACTTGCTGCTCTCCCAGAGGACCTGGTCAACTCGAAGCACCTATGTGGTGGCTCATAACCATCTGTAATCCCAGTTCCAGGGGGTCTGAGGCCCTTCTCTGGCCTCTGTGGACCCCAGACATGCACATGGTGCACAGATATAAATTCAGGCAAAATGACACAATACACATAAGTTTTCTTGATTAAAAAAAAGCTGACGCTGAGATGGTGGCTAGTGCCTGTTAGCCCAGAGCTGGGGAGTTGGAGACAGGCAGCCTTTTGGGGCTTCCAGCCTAGCCTAACTGGCAAGCCTCAGGTCCTAATGAATGACACATGAAGTTGACCTCTGATCTCTGCACACATGAACACACACATACACTTGCTCGCACACATACACACACGCATGCACGGACAGGAAACAGGATGGAGTCAGAGAAGATGCTAGCAAGCTAGGAGATACTCACAGTTGCATCTTATCCAGTATCAAAGTGAAGCCCCACCTGAAAGGCAAAGGGGACCAATGATAGGGTAACCAAAAACCAGAGAGGTAATGGCAGGTGAGCCCTAGGTCAGGACCAGGGACAACCACTTACGGTGTTGGAGGTTTTAACTTCTTGCGGATTCCCAGGTAGACCTTGGCACCTTCCAGAGACCACTCCCGTTCTGGTTTAGAGCTCTGAGAACATGAACAAAGGTGGTAAGATTGATAGGTACAAGAACACCAGGGATAGGAAGATCAAGAAGTCATGGGTGCATTGGGACATGTGATCATGGAGTCAGAAAGGTCAAGGTCAGGGAAGCAATGAGATTGGTGAGGATATGGGCTGCGGAATCAGGGGTTGGTACAGTTAGAGACCCCGCTGCCTGGCTGGCCACCCAGTGTCCCACCCCTCTAGCCTGGAGCATCACCTTCTTTTCTTTGAGCAGCAGCAGGCAGTGGCCACGCACCAAAAAGAACCTCTCCTGGAAGCGGCTTCCCAACAAG